CGTACGTCGTACGTACGTACGTACTACTACTACGTACGTACGTACGTACGTCGTACTACGTACTACGTACGTTACTACGTACTACTACTACTACTCTCTCTCTCTCTCTCTCTCTCTCTCTCTCTCTCTCTCTCTCTCTCTCTCTCTCTCTCTAAGTACTTAAAGTACAACTAACAAGAAACCCTAACCTAAATAACCTTTAGTCTATCCTAGAGTCAGCTTTCCAGACTCCTCACCTATATACCACAAACTAGTTTGATCATCAACCATGCATAACAACCCCAAGGAGTCTAGCAAAGAGGGTGAAGACCCTTGCTCATCAACTTGCCTGAAACTCTGCAAGATGGTGGCTATCTGCCATGAATCATCATTGTCAGGGGCGACGGCTTCAACAACTCGACACTCAAGAGGAGTCCGAGGCGGCGGGGGTGGAGGCACCGGCTGCAAAATTGGGTAGACAAAGTTTGTTCTAGCCTTACCGAGGCCACTAAACGATATCGAGGTGAGATCGTAAGCTAGGGCCGCCTCCTCTGCAGTGTCAAAGGTGCCGAGCCAGTGTCTCTCCTTAGTGTTAGGGTTTCGAATTTCGGCTGCATAACGCCCCCATGGCCGGCGTCGGACTCCCAAGTATCCTCCCCCTTCACGGCCCCTTCGCCTTCGGCTAGGCCATTGCACTCCATGACCAAGTCCCGCCATAGTTTCAAGCTTTGTGCTGGTGTTAGTGTGTTGAGTGCAATCTAAGGCTTTCTATTTAGGGTTTGCTTTCTCTATGAACTTTTTGAAGGTGGTGGGCTGGTTATATAGCCGGAAAGTTGGGATTTTAGCCGGAAAAAGGGGGGAATGGGTGGCGGGTTTGATTAAAAAAAAGGTGGGGCCAGGGGCAGGTGCCAGCCACTAATGCGCACTAGGGTTTAAGTAATATATTCAAGTGAGATATAGGAGGAGGTGTTGTGTTTTTCTTTAACCTGTGCTTTGTTTTGTTCTCCCATATTCTCCTCGGCACGATGAGACACAATGGGCCACGTTTAAATCTAAATAATTCACATGGAAATTTATAAGAGGTGAAAATATGATTTTGATCTCTCCTAGAGAGAGAGAGAGAGACAATCATGGTGGTGTGCATACACCAAGTAATGGAATGAAGTGAAAGAGAGAGATAAGGTAAGTGTGTGTGTGTGTTTGTGTTTGTTTTGTTTACGTGAGAGAGGGAGAGATAAGGTAAGTGTGTGTGTGTTTGTGTTTGTTTTGTTTACGTGAGAGAAAGAGAAAGAGAGATAAAGGGGGGAGTGAGTCCATTAGGATGGTGTGGCTACAAAAAAATAAGGAAACGAAGGAAGTGAGTGTGTGTGCGATTGTTTGCGTGTTTGTGTGAGAGAGAGGGAGGGAAGGAGGGGTGTGAATACACCAAATAATGGTGTGAAGGAAGTGTGTGCTTGTGTGTGTGTGAGAGAGAGAGAATTAGGGTGGAGTGCATGCACCAACTAATGGAAGAAAGGAAAGGAATGGTGTGTATGTGTGTTAGAGAGAGAGAGAGAGAGGCGGGGGGGAGGGGGGGGATTTGTTTGGTTTAAGTGCGACGCAAGTGCAAATATATTGTAGATCAGATGGTATTTAGTTCAATATATAAAGGTATACAAATCGGATTTCCCTTGGAATTTCTTAGTAAGGCTTTGATTCATTTGATAGTTAATTAGTCGTCACTAGTTTCCTCATATTCATAGTTTAAAGGATGCTTGCCATGAGGAGGGCGTATTTATCTCCTCACACGTGGGACATACCTTTTGTATGGAACTTTGAATAGTACTTCTTTCCTTTCAATAAATAATAATCCGGTTTAGGTCATAAATATATATATATATATAAGCTACCATGTATTAATATTAGGTGCACAATGCTCCCCATTGTGAATACAGTTAGGACAATGTCCTTAGATATCAAAAGGAATGTCGCGAGTTGTCTAGAAATTTGGCTTAGATTATGTGTTATTTGTGATTAACATTAATGATTCAAAAATGGCCAGACTAACTCGAGAAGCAAGGGTGACAATGGACAAGCTGGTCCGGCCTTGCCCGGTTGGTCTGGCCCAGCCAAAAAATGTGGCCCGAGGGCTGGGCCTGACCCTGGTGCAAGACAAGGTTAGCCTGGCTAGGCTCTTATTTCTTTATCTTTTTTTTTTTTGTTTTTTTTTTAAATTATTTAGCCTGGCCGGGCCAAGGCAAGGGCCCTCAAGAAACATGGTTGGGGTAGGGCCAAGGCATGCCTGGCCCATCGCCAGCCCTATGACTAGAATCGGCTGAGTTGGGCTGAATTAGGATGCTGGTAATTCCAGGTCAAGCAACCATGGACTTGCCCTAGACTCCTGTTTTTTTAGTTTTTCAGAAAATGGTTTGTTATGTATACCCTCATCGAACTCAAAATTGTCCGAGTCAAACCAAAGGAATAAGAATCAGAGAACCCTAAGTAAAAGCCCAGTTTCGATTTTTAGAACAGTAATTAGCATTCCTATTCAATTTTGATGGTCATCTTGTTTGTATTTTGGGTTAACATGTTGAGAATTTAATTTTAGCTTAAAATGTTAATGTTAAGAACTACAGACTCCCCATTTTGAAATTAGCTATTTTTTTATTATTTTGTTTGATCTCAAATATTTTAGTGAGATTTAATTTGCAGAGAACTTTGTTATTTTTGACAAAAGATCAAACCTGCACTGCTGGCGATTTAAAGGAGAATAGATAATTCGATCGTAATTCACGCATTCTCTATCAAATTTTAAATTAACTAGTTTATAGTGATAGATAAGTGGATTTCAGATTTGAAATTTTCTCGATTTCGCGTTGTAAATAGGAGGACTAAGGAGGAGTCATGGAGTTGTACCCAAGTTTGTAAGAGTGAGACATATGTGAAGCCTATAAGAGTGAAATCTATGTGTTTTTATAAGGATATAATTACTAAAATTATATACAATAAGACTATGACTTTTGGCAAAAAGAGATCATAATGATTGTTGACCTTTAAATGTGAAATTGGGTAGTGGGAAATATATCATTAAATAGCACAAAGTCCAAAATAAGATTTATTATAGAGACATAATTTAACGTTTTGAATTTCACACCCAGTAGCTATTAATGTTTGTGATTGTGACTTCATTGTACTAAAATAAATAATCTTTTACTTAAAAATCTAATAAAAGTAAGTAAAAAAATATTATAGAGTGACATTAATTTTTTTTGTCATGCTATAATTAATGTATGAAATTATTTTTATCTCACCCTAGCCATTTGATTTATATCAATAGCTAGGTACCTTTAGACACATATAAATTATGCGTATAAATTTTTTTTGGTTGATCAATATGGAAAGGGTCCAATATCCTTGGTAGGAACAAAACTCAAAATATCACATTATGATGCCCCACTACCCTAACTACTTTTATAGGTGTGAAGACATGCAGAAAACTCGACGCAGTATGAATTCTCTCAATAACCACAATTCATGTCTTCCTTACTCCTGTAGAATTCCAAGTAGCATGAAGTCGGGTTGTTTTCCTTTTTTTTCTTTTTGGGCATTTTACACAAGTTCTTACTCCTGTAGAATTCCAAGTAGCATGAAATCGAGTTGTTTTCCTTTTTTTTCTTTTTGGGCATTTTACACAAGTTGGAACACACATGCAAGCAAATGAATGCGAAGATGTGGCATGTGTATGGGTCGACCTAATGTGTGTGTGCGCGTGTATTTGTGTGTACATATGAATGTATGTA